CTCTCTACAACAGACAGATTCTAAAAATATTCTCCAATAGTTCATTCCAAATGAAGAGATTACACAGAATTAAGATGTCACCCCTTTCTATATCAAACTTATTTCAGTTTCATAATTCTGTACTTAATAAAACTTCACATGTGCAGTATTTACAGCAACATTTCCAACTCGTCTTTACAAATGACAACCATAAAACATGTACGCCTTTCATAAAAGTCTTTGAATATGAAAATATAGACCACCAACTCTATCCTTTACCATTTCAATGTAACATCTAAAAACATTTATGTAAATATACAAAGGCCACATCTTTCATCATTCTATACATAAGAAACTACTATGTATGCAGCTATACTGCCTTATACAGGAATCAGCTCACCGTAAGTTTTATTCTTGGTTACTAAATCAGGCCTGCCAACAATCTGATCACTTCTACCCAGGAGATGGACATGATATGTCCCCCCCCCACAAAAAATGTTATTAACCACCTATAATCCTACATGGCATAATAATCCAATCTATATTTTCAAAGGCATAAGAACCTCAATTCTTTACCCAGTATTAATTTATTATTTTAATTACTTATTGCTTCTAAATAAATCCATGCCTTGTCTGTGTAATAAGCAAGTACTGGTAGCACAGTTACTACTCATTTGCTGTTAAGAAGTTTTGGGTCTTATGGGATAATATTTATGAGTATGTGATAGTTCATCCAAGATTTACAATGTACAAGTATTTCTGTATAACAAAGCTCGGTCATTATAACTTAAAAGTTATTATAACCTCAATATAAGATCATGGGGTCCTCAGTAGACGCGCGGTCTGAGGCGTGGGCCTTGTGCCACTTGGTCGCTGGGACCGTGGGTTCGAATCCCACTCAAGCCATGGATGTTAGTCAGCATTTTTCTGTATTGTGCTGTCCTGTGTACAGGTAGAGGCCTTGCGACGGGCCAATCCCTTGTCCAAGGAGTCCTACCGAATGTCTACAGATCGAACCAATGAAAAGTTGGGACCCGCAGTGCTCAGGCACTTGAAGAATGGGTCGATCCCAGTATAAGATCATATTTGAGATTGCACTACATTAATTCATATAACATTCTTTAATTATGCAAAGGTTAGTAATGATTTTGTTTTGTTATACATTACTTGATTTTAATTTTTATATGCTGTTTTGTGGAAAAAATGGACTAAAACAAAGTCTGTTCCCTAACCCATGACCTACTATGTACACATACTTCCAATACAACATAGCAAAACAGATGAATGCATGTTAATACTTCACAGCTTTTGTAATTAAGAGAAGATGAGTAATGATCTTTATTTTTATGTGAGTCTTTGAGACACTTTTCAATAAAGAAGTTTCTTTTTAAGTATGATTTTCCCATCATTTTATGGGCAAATTTGTAATAGCAATATATTAATGCTCACTTGCATGGTTGGCCAAAACTTAGCAGTAACTTCATTTGCAGCTTCACTAGATGATTTCCCTTCCAACAGACTCATTCCAAAAAAGAATGATACCATGGCAAATGGACCATAACTAAATTGTTCCAATATTGCCTGAAAAAAAAATATCAATAAATATAACATGCAGATAAAGTTGAACAAATTCAAACAGTTAAGACCTTTCTGATTCATTTTTAGAAATCCTGCAGTGATTTGGCATATAGACCAATTATAAATATTCTGTTTGGTTATAACATTACTACTTATTATTCTAAACAAAAATAAATCAATGAAAGGTGCATGTCCTTCAGAATGTCAAACATATACTGAACAGTGGTTGTGTTCCTGCTTTCAAAAACACTCAGATGGCTAAAAAGTTAATAGTGGTTAAATAGTTATTAGAAACAGACATACAGATCATCACAAAACATGCATTGCTTCTTTCAGGAACAGGTGAAGAAAACTAATGAAAGTTTATGAAGAGAAAAATACTGTGAATAGCAAAACAAGTGCAATAAAAAAGTCATGTGATTCTTAAAAGCTAATAATAAATACCAGCAAAGGGGGATAAGAATTTAAGGGACCTTGGTGACAATAAACAAAAAGGGAAACTGATTAAAGTTGAGTTGTGTTGTGCTTCATGTGCAGTCCAGTTGGCTGTGCATCACACGACCAGACTGTTAACCCGCAGCCCCATAATACAGGAATTTAAATCCCCTATTCCCATATGATGGTATCATCAGTGTGGGTTTCGACGTAACAGGCCAACTACTGATCAGATTTTTTGTATTCATCACCTGCTAGATAAAAAATGTGAGTACAATGAGACAGTACATCAGCTGTTCATAAACTTCAAGAAAAAATATGATTCAGTTAGAAGGGAAGTACTGTACAATATTCTCGAGTTTGGTACACCCAAGAAAATAGCTCAGCTTATTACAATGTGTTTAAACAAAACCTATATTAAAATCCGTTAGGTAAACATTTGTCTGACACATTTCCTATTCAAAATGGTCTTAAACAAGGATATACTTAATCACCATATGCAATTAGGAATGTCGAGGAAGGCAGATGGGAACGACACTGAATGGGACACGTCAGCTTCTGGTTTATGCCGATGAGATAATTTACTGGGAGATAATAAATATTCCATAAAAACACACATACACAAGCTTATGTTGATGTCTCATCACCAGAATGCAGGGCAAAATTGTAACACAAAGATAGCTAATGAATCCTTTGAAAATGTGGCAAAGTTCAGATATTTGGGCGTGACAGTAACAAATCAAAATTTGATTCATGAGGAAATTAAGAGCAAACTGAATTTGGGACATGTTTGCTACCATTCAGTTCAGAACCTTTTGTATTCTCATCTGCTGTCTAAACATGTAAAGATTAAAATATACAAAAGTATCATTTTACCTGTAGTTCTGTATGGGAGTGAAACTTGATCTCTGACACTAAGGGTGTTTGAGGACAGGTGCTGAGGACAATATTTTTGACGTAAAAGGGATGAATTGCTAGGAGGCTGGAGAAACTTTCATAATAGCTTCATAAGTTGCACTCATCACCAAATATAATTACACAGATTGATTCAAGGAGGATGAGACAGGCAGGAAATGGGAGAGAAGAGGAATGCATACAGAGTTTTGGTGGGCAAACCAAAAGGAAAGAGACTACTAGAAGATGTAGGTAGGATAATATTAAAATAGATCTTAGAGAAATAGAATGGGGTGGTATGGACTGGATTCATCTGGATCAGGCTAGGGACCAGTGGCAGGCTCTTGTGAAAATGATAATGAACCTTCAGGTTCCACAAAATGTTAGGAACTTCTTGAGTGACTGAATGTATGTTGGCTTCTTAAGAAGGACTTGGTTCCATGGAGAAAGTAATTATACTGAGATGATAAGGGTTAATTAGAATAATGTACAAAGGGGTTTCAGACATAAAAGAAGCACAGTGAATGAGCAACTACAATTGAAACATAAACATTAAACTTAGTAAACAAACAAATGTGGACAAATTCTTAAAAAAATTACAGTCCAAATCCCACAAGTACAACCAAGTTATGAATACATGTATGACAAATATCAGTCATGTTAGAGGAAAGAAAGAAATCATGGCACATTTTTGGAAAATTGTCAAGATAGAACCTTGAAAAGCTAGTAACTACAGAATGTACCACTTGAAACACAACCCAGCATCAATCATACAAAACATGTAAGTACACTCACTCACTACCTACCTAACTAACTAACTAGATGGCTTACCGAACACGAAGGTTCATCACCGAATTAACCAAAGCCCTCCACCGGACCCTGTCCTGGGCCAACAAAATCCTGTCTCCTTCAACTCCTATCTCCCATAGATCCCGCCTGACATTATCCTCCCATCTACGTCTAGGTCTCTCCAGCAGTCTCTTCCCCTCAAACTTCCCAACCAATACCCGGTGCACACCTCTTGTCCCATCCATGCCCGCTACATGCCCCGCCATCTCATTCTTCTTGACTTAATCACCCTGACATATACCGGGGGAGGAGTACAGATTTTTAAGCTCATCATTATGCAGTTTTTGCCATGCCCCATCATTTTCCTTCTTAGGCCCAAATATCCTCCTCAACACCCTATCATATAAGTACACTCTGTAGGTAAAATGTTACAGTACAAAAATTAAACCAAAACTAGATCCAAACCCAGGTAACAGTTTCCTCTAAACTTCCCCATGGCACTTGAGTCTAGTTCAGTCACTCTGGTTGTTTGGCTGCTTCCCATGCCAGTTGTGTAAAAGATGTGAACATATGAACATGGCATATTTACATACAGAACATGTTCATTCCTGAACAATACTTCACATCAAAATCATTTGCTGCTGTTCGTAAAAAATTTATCAAAGTGTATCCTGACAAGGAAATACTTCATCAGACAATACACCAACATACAACAAAATTTTGGGACACAGAAAACAAATCTGGCATCAGATAGTGTTGAAAAACTAATTTAGCTTGTTACATTTTCATCAAAGCTTACGAATACTGTCGTAGTCAGAGTTGCAATCCAAATGTGTAACTTGGTATGTTGCCCACATAGTCCCTTTATGGTATTTATTTGTTTCTCAGAATAAAGAGCAAAAATTTTCCTAAACATCATTAAATGTATGAACTTTGTAACTGTGATGTGGCATGTTTTCTTGGAGTATGAGTATGTTACATACTAATTAGTTTAGATTTGTCCTTCAGAAAGTTAAATTATACCTTGACCAACTCCTTCAACAATCTGCCTAGTTCATCATCCAATAATAATGAATGCTATCTAATGTGAGCTACAGACAGCATCATTAAATAACCCATAAATAAATTAAATAGAATATTACAACAGACAGAAAAGATTTTGAAGAGTAACATACATGTATGTATATGGTGATAAATGACTTTCAGCATATGATCTTGAGTGGGATTGAAGATAGTAATTTTAATGTAATAATAAAAATAATTTCAGTTGGGGTCTGCACTTGGAATGGAGGAAAGGTTCTGATTTAAACAACTTAAAGACACTCTCTTAACCATATGGCATATTACTTGATTTTACCTTCTCAAATACCCATACAAAATCAATTAAAATACTTGAAAAAAACATGCCTAAAAGCAATCATAAACCATTTTAATACACTTCATCCAGAGATTTTTCACAGCTGTAAAAGTAGCTAATGTCATCATAGTGGATGAATGTTCTGTAGTTATCACTGTAAGCCTATGGATAATCAAATTCCTTTTTAATGAAACATGCGACACTGAAAAGATACAGATAGTAAGAAAAGATATACTGATTCTCCAAATATATAAATAATGGTATAATAATCAACACAAGAACAGAAAATAAACTAAAAAAATAAACATAAAAGTAGTATTACCTTGGTTAATGCAGTTTTCAAGTTCATCTGTGGCCACATAAGACCAGACAGCTTAAGCCATCCATGAAGTGTTGGTGCAACATAGAATGCACCAAACAAACTGTAACGCAGAGCTTGCAGAAAGTCAAATTTCTCTTTTCCAGAAATGGCCTGCTGACACAGGTTTGATACAGGCCAAATAACTGCATATGTGGCTACTCCTCTCAAAAGTGGATACTTATTAAAGTAAACACGTGTTCTTGAAAATACTGCACTCATATCTAAACCTCCTTGTAGACTGGACTCAGGTTATGATCAGTTTGTTTACTCTGAAAGGGCAGGGGGAAGAAAGTGGTAATTGGCTTTACAAAAGCAATTTAATAATGTGGTGACCACATACTTAAGCATATTTCATATCTGCAACATAAGTTAAACTACTGTAAAACATTACGCAAAATGTTTTATTTATGTTTACCAGACAGAATACTGGCATCACATAATGACCTGAACAAAATTAAATCAATCTACTTTTGTTCAACCTAACCTATAAATAATCTTGGATTTGTTGGATATTTGTTTCAACAACTACAGGCATCTGTCAGGGAAGTATAACTATTTGAAAACATTGTGTCTGCATTAGTAATTGGTATCATATAACCATTCAATTAAAATACACGTAGTATTCAGGCTGGGGCACCTCACAAACATCAAGCAGAAGTACCAGCGTGGTCCAACTGGCAGCCTGCGAAAGTATTTGTTACTTTTCACTAGTTAGTACAAACCCATTTTTTTAAGTTGATATTTCATCACTGGTAAAAGAACATTCTGCTCAGTGCTCTCACTTGACTTTCAAATGTATATTTCGGCATATGCAATGGTAATTTGTCATTTCTGAATAAATATGATGGTACTTGTGGGTTATCGGGACACATCGCTTTAAAAATATGTTAGGTTAGGTTAGGTTAATGTGTGTGTGGATAAATGACATATACTTGAAAGTTATTATATTTTATTTCAATAAATGACAACTAACCTAACCTAACCTATTTTTAAAGCGATGTGTCCCGATAACCCACAAGTATCAATATGACTAAAGATAATGACAATGCAAAAACATCTAGTAACAGTAGGGATTTCTTGGCCCTTGGGTCCAACAGGAAAAATATTCTGGCCTGACCAAGGAAAAAAGTTGGACCAACCTGCTCTAGACAGTCCAGACCTGGCAGTGGGGGTGGGGCAGGACAATGCCATTTCCACATATTAACAGATTACAGAATTTTTTCAGACTGTTTTGACTACAGTGCCTCAACAAAAATGGGGTATTCCAACCACTAATTTACACAAAATATTCTGTACAATGACAATATTAAAGCATACAACAAGTCATTCCTCCTTGCATAGCATATGTAATGTCCAACCACAACTATTTTATGTTGCATAAACATATAAACATGCACAGTCTGTTATATGCGTGTGGTACAGTTATCCAGTGAATTTTGAAAGATGTAACTGCAATATCTCACAACACTTTGCTCAGAAGAGATGACAAACAAAAGGAGTAATAAAACTAACTGTAAACTGAGATTCGTACCTGTTAGTTATGTGTAACAGAGATGAAACACAGTTCTGAAATTCAGATACATGCTTCTGTTCATAAGAGAAATAGGTTAAAGTAGCAATTGGTTCTTATATGCAAAACCATGAAAAACTATTTGTAATGGCAATTTAGATTTATGGAGAACTTACATTGATATTGTTTCAATTATCTATAATTCAGAACATATAATTATAAAGGATCGTCATATTTAGCAATTACACCAAAGTTCTAGGTGAAAGCATGCACATGATATGCTGGGAAGAGAATGAGGTGTGTCCTGTGAAAGAAGTCTCATCATGTAGAAATGAAATTGCAGTCTAGAAATTTGTGTATGAAAACTAATTTAAGAAGAAGTGTGTTACTGTACATCATTTTCATGTCATGACAAACTGCACAAATATAAAACAAGTGTGTATTTTTTTACAAATTATAATAAAGTATTGAGACCCTTGAATTCAGTAGGAATGCCCTTCCTATACCCCTTAGGTCTATCTCATTTTAACATAATCAAAAGATTTTTACTACAACAAAAGAAAGACTAAATGTAAAACTGTCATCCTAAAACATCATACCTGATAAAAAATGGAATAGCATGTATGTGACATATGAGGGAGGAGATTTCAATATCCACCACACTACATGGTGCAACATCCCAGAGGACAGTCATCTTCTGAAAGGAATGGGTATGGTCCTATTACTATGTGCTGACAATTGCACACATTACCAAAACTTTGTAGAGGATAACAGTTGGCTACAATTATAACAAATGGTGCAAATCTACAAGTGCAAAGGACATTCAGATGTAAAAAAAGAAACACGTATTTGCAGCAAAATGCATCGTTTCGAAGCCAAAAATTATGCTGTTTCTGAATAACAGGTTAAATATAGTGTTAACTGAGTAGAACTGTATTTATATATTATCGTATTTTATGCCATTATTATTGACACGAAATCATTTACCTTGAATCTTCAAACTTACTGATTTATAAGGGCAAAACCATGGACAACCTTGCACAAACCTGTGAAACTGTATTGCGAATAGACGTCCACTCCCCTTCGCCATTACAAGATAAAACATTGCCAAAACACTTTGATCCGTATTAATGGGGCACATTACATATTGTGCAATCACTTCAAAATTACCCGTTGTCAATCTGAACTTATTATGCATTCACACTTACGATATGTGGTAACACAAAAAAAGGGTTTCGCATCATGGTCGATTATTATCGAAAATCAGGAGTATTGTATTTGTAGTCTCATTTAATAGCCTTGAAACACATTTCATTGTTTTGTCAGTTTCCACTGTCCCGCAGTCATACATGTGTGGAATATTGTATACTAAGAGTTAAGAATACTACTACTACTATCTGTCAGAATTGTGTAGTATAACTAAGATGCAGTGGTGGTACCGGTAGCTCAGTGGGCAAAAAGGCCAACCAACCGAAAGGCTTACTAAGGGCGAAGTCATGCGCAAGCGCAAGACATCGCCCCTTGCCAGGTAACACCATCTGTCAGAATTGTGTAATATAACGAAGACGGCAGTGGTGGTACCAGTAGCTCAGTGGGCAGAAAGGCCAAAACGAGAATTTGCTTACGATAAGTGGGGTGCTGCAGGCCAGAAAGAGAAACGAAGCCAAGAATTTAT